TATCTATCTATCTATCTATCTATCTATCTATCTATCTATCTATCTATCTATCTATCTATCTATCTATCTATCTATCTATCTATCTATCTATCTATCTATCTATCTATCTATCTATCTATCTATCTATCTATCTATCTATCTATCTATCTATCTATCTATCTATCTATCTATCTATCTATCTATCTATCTATCTATCTATCTATCTATCTATCTGTCTATCTATCTGTCTGTCTGTCTGTCTGTCTGTCTGTCTGTCTGTCTGTCTGTCTGTCTGTCTGTCTGTCTGTCTGTCTGTCTGTCTGTCTGTCTGTCTGTCTGTCTGTCTGTCTGTCTGTCTGTCTGTCTGTCTGTCTGTCTGTCTGTCTGTCTGTCTGTCTGTCTGTCTGTCTGTCTGTCTGTCTGTCTGTCTGTCTGTCTGTCTGTCTGTCTGTCTGTCTGTCTGTCTGTCTGTCTGTCTGTCTGTCTGTCTGTCTGTCTGTCTGTCTGTCTGTCTGTCTGTCTGTCTGTCTGTCTGTCTGTCTGTCTGTCTGTCTGTCTGTCTGTCTGTCTGTCTGTCTGTCTGTCTGTCTGTCTGTCTGTCTGTCTGTCTGTCTGTCGATATTTGTGTGCAAGCACAGGCACCACTTTTATTCCATGCGGATGGACTAATGTCATCCCCACAACCCAACCCCGGTTACGCCCTATAGGCCAACCCCTCCATCCCTCCCTAGACACTCAGTGTACGCTGTTGGCGTCAAACCTGTCCCTTTTTTTGCCCCTACCTGCGCGTAGGAGGTATATAGGCTGACCGTCATTGCATTGAACGAAGTTTTTTCGCCAGGGACACTAGATGAGTATCGTTTATTCTATACATTAGAGTCCTATGTAGTCACTTCATAGTTAGAGCCTATTTGTGTAAGTGTACTGTGTTGTCCTTTATGTGCTAATGAAGGCTAATCGCCGCAACGTCCTTTGTTTGTTTATTGTGATTGATTTTGTAAAGCTAACATAAACTAATTGTTGTTTCTTACCAACTTTTTCTCTTCCCTATAATTTTCTACTCCTTATAAAAACATCTAAATGCAAGGGGAAAGATCTTAATTTGGATGTAAAACATCCAAAGTGACAACACTGGTTCGCCTGGCTCGAAACACAAAAACTACACCCGAGTATGTATACTCAGTGATTCAATGAGTATAAACCAGAGGGTTCCGGCAGGTTCGGCGCCAAGACAATGGCTCGAATCATTACAGCAGTCTATTGACCGTGGAGTCCCCTTTATTTTTGTACGGGACACGCAGGCCTATGGATCATGCTGATATTATTATTGCCCTCAGCAAAATGGGAAGGATAGAGGACTTTGGGGGCAGTGAATCCCCATCACTCGCCAGAATGGCAGACTTGGGAATTGAGATCGCTATAGCAAAAAATGACTTGTTAATCAACATAGAACTGGTACTATTAACCATCGGACGTTGGGGTTAATACTGACGGAAGGATCTGAGCACCTATGGATATGTCAGGAGTGCAATGATGATAACCCAACTAACTAACCAAATAACTAACTAACTGACTAATGAGTTATATAGCCATTAAGAACCACGTTTCCTCGTCTCAACTGACAAAGAAATTTCCAGTGTTGCCACTTTGGATCTTTTATATCCAAATTTAGATCTTTTTCATTGCATTTAGATCTTGTTTTTGACGTTTAGATCGTAAATATTTTTCTAGATTCTTTTCATATGGAGTTAGATATTTTATAGATTTTTTTTTCTTTCATTGTCAATTTAATAATTATTGTGTAAAATATTTACTACAATATTTTTGTTTTGGTCTGGCACGTACATTGTGACATTTGCCATTACTTGAACTTTGAACTCTCACTGGGGTCAACGCACAAATACCTGGCAGACCCGGTACTGATTAATAAAAACGCGCGTAAATCATACTAACTTTGTTTCAACCGTATCCTCACTGTGCTGACTTTGCGTTTCTTTTTCATGTGATTTAAAAAAAAATAATTGCTCACCTTCTTATGTGGCTTTCACTTTTAAAAAACCTTTCAACATGCCAAAAGTAAAGTATGAGCAAAAAATTTGGAAAGAGTGGTTGCATGATGACAAAATTAAAAACTGGGGATATGACCAAAGCTTGTTGTAAGTACTGCAAGTGTGAAATTAAAGCGAAAATACAAAACTTAAAGAGTCACGCAGAGACTAAAAAACTGCAGTTTCATTTAAAGATTTTACACCGCTGACATCTGTTTTCAGAACTATACTGGTAAATGAATCATCAAAAGTTGAAGTAGCAGTCGCAATGTTTTTAATTTGTCACTGCGCAATTTCAAACTGTGACCATTTGATCGATTTGTAAAAAATCTTGGACTAGTTCAATTTGAAAAATGTGGTGTAGAAAGTATAGTTTAGGAACTGAAGGACCTTTTAACCAGCAAACAGTTAGGCTTAAAGAATTTGGCTGTAATTGGTTCTGATAATGCCTCAGTAATGGTTGGTATAAACAACGGCATTTATGCCAAGTTAAAGGAAGCAACCCATTGTTAATACTTATAAAATGTATGCGTCATTCATTGCAGCTAGCATTATCACATGCTTCATCTAAATATTTACCAAGGAATTTGGAATACCTTATTGCTGAAACACTTTACTGGTTTTCCAAATCATTTGTCAGACAACAGCAATACAATGCATTATATACAGCCATGAATGATGGTTCCACACCACCGAAAATTCGGTCAGATTGCAAAACTAGATGGTTATCAATTTAATCAGCTATTGAAAGAATTATGAAGCAATGGCTGAATTTGAAGATACACTTTGAAATAACAAGACAAAGTGAAAAGTGCTACACAGCTGAAATACTATATGGAATGTACAGTGATGAAAAAAATGTATTCATTCTCTTATTATAACCTATTCTAATGGAAGTGCAAAAAGTTAATAAACTGTTCGAATCTAAACTTGTTGATAAAGTTAAATTACTTGATGATCTCACCTTGCTATTTCACTCGGTAAAAGACTGGTGTTGCCAACTTCTAAAGCTGATTTGCTCACTTGCACTATAGAGAGCTATTTGGCTCCTAAGCCACACCTTGGTTATTAAATCGAATCAAAAATTGATGATTTAAAAGTAAAAGGATTGTTAACAGAGAATGAAGAGAACAACTTAAGAAAACGCTGTCAAGATTTCCTTATCTCATTGAAGCAGAGACTTCCTGAAAATCTAGATGTTTTGAAAAATATTTCACTTTTTTTCTGTGAGCAACATACTTCAGCCAATAAAGGACATACCTAAATATTGTAAAGTTATGAAATATTTAGGGGCTACTGAAAATAGTGTCGCGGAAGCAGAATATCAGTTAACCAAAATAAAGTTAGCTGAATGGACAAACAAAACAGAAACTAAAGCGTTTTGGAGTGAAGTGAGACAATTTAAATATGCCTCATCAAACAGTCCATTCTGTAAGCTCTTTAAAGTGCCATGTCTGCCATGATACTACCCCACTCAAATGCTGACGTAGAAAGAGTTTTCAGTGCTAGGAATTATAACAAATCTAACCTAAAAAACAGGACGAAATTTGACCTCTTAAATGCTATCGTGCCATTAAAATTCGGCCTGATGTGACTAGAAAAATAAGCCTACTGTTCCACTTATAAAGAAATTTAGAACAGCTAAAGCATACCAGGGTCATTTTGGATCTGAAGCTTCAACTTCATTATCCAAGCTAAGTTTATCCTGTGGATCTTGTGAGGCAGACATCCGTGAAGGTGAGGACATGATTGTGTAGGGTAAGTCATAACAAAAGTTATGTAATTTTTGACTTTTTTAATTTGGATGTTTTTCTAGATCTTTTCCACACAGATTTAGATCTTTTTAGATATTTTTTGACACCGTTTTGGATATTTTTTGTCTAAGAAAAGTGGCAACACTGCTAATTTCCTTGATCTTTTCCACATTCAACTTCTTCAGTACATCTTCTATCTGTTGTTATCTGGATACCAAGCATTTAAACGTGTCAGCTGCTTGAGGATTGTACCATTTACCTTGATGCTGCACTTTGGAGGGTCAGTTTTCCTTGTAATTACTATTAGTTCTGTTTTTTTTCTTTCTGTTGTTTAAACTAAAACCCTGTTTTGACTTGATGTTACACTTATTCGAGGGCACGATAAACAGCATAACAGTCGAAATCTATCTTTTAATTATTTTGTTGTTTAGTTAGTATGTCCTCCTGTCTCTCTACCTTTGTCTGTGAGTGCCGATTATTTCTCGATGTCTTGTCTTTTTGTTTATTACATACTGTTTCTGCGGTCGCAGGTGTTCCCTGCATGCTTGTTGCACCCCACTATCACACAAGCGATAAACACCCCGTGACACAAAGTGCCACCATGCGGATGAGGATCACCCGTGGAGAGGTCCCAGAAACTAGTTCGTGTGTTCAGCCGTTATGGCCACACATGTGGCCCAGCTATATTCAGGGCCTCCGGCAAAAGCCATGGTTAGGCTTCAAATAACGAAAAATTGCATCCCACAAGGGGACGACTGATATATAGTGTTCCCTGTCCTGTGTGGGTAAGGACGTTTTCCATGCAGCGAGCCAACAAACACTTAATGATATTGATGACCTCGAGGTCGAATGTCACAAATGTCAAAGGTCATATTACAATCCATTGAAAACAAGGGGAGTAAAATTGCAGTGCAGTATAACCAGCTTGCTTAACTTCCGTTATAAATCATAATATACCTAACGCATTTGAATACTTTGTTGGAAAATTATTGATGGATTATATTTCAAATACGAGATTATAAAAATATCAATATGTTCGAATTATATATACCTAGTTTTATAATCCATATGCCCTCTTCCACGTAAATAAACTAGACCAATGACCTAGCGGTATATATGGCGAAATTCGCATGGCTGGTTTCTTTCACATGAGGGACATTTCCAGGGGAAGTAGTTTCTGCAGTTCGTCCGTGTGTTTGCTACAAGTTGAATTATTAAAATGACACAGTGAGTAATTAAACTTCTATGCCGACAGGATAACTTTGGATTTAAAATAGGAAATGATCATATTTTGATGCGTGCTGGAACTGTATGTGTATTTTCTGAAATTATTCTTCATCCTTCACCGAATGAAATGATGTTCTCTTGTCACAGTAGTACACTAGTACTACTACTACTGTATATACTATGGCGAAGTGTAAATAATAATTTATATTCTCCTAGTAGGAGGAAAATGGAGTTAATGGGTATTCCATGCCGACTATCTAAACAGCATATCAGTACTCACCACAAAGTGTCTAAGTCTAAGAAGTGAAAAAGAAATGATGCTAAATAAATCCACCAGGATAAAAATCAAAATCCTGTCATCCATCATCACCATAAATAAACCACTTACTTCTACCTTTAAGCTGTGCTATTAAACTTAAAAGTTTTGATTTTAGTGTCAGATCAGTACTTACTTTTGTATTGTATGGGAGGAAAACATGGAGAAAAACTGTGGAAATTACTAATAATTAATAAACTTCAAAACATTCATTAACTGGTGCCTGCACAGAATAGAGGGAATTTAAATGGAACGATGGAATCACATATGTAAAGCTCTGGGAGAGAACTAAACAAGTTCCACTGGACCTAGAGGTGAAAAAAAAAAAAGACATTGGCGTTTGATTGGAGACGTCGAGAAAACTTGAGAAGAGTATAACACCAGAATGCCATTACACTGGAACCCACAGGAGCATAGAAATAAAGGAAGACAAAAATAAAAACACATGGAGAAGAGAGCTAGAAAATGGAAGTTAATTTGATAGGGAGGACCTGGGAAGAACTGCATGCAATAGCGAAGGACAGAATGACTTGACATGTTGGTTGATGAGGGCCTATGCTCCGTTGGGGGTTTAAGGCAGTAGAAGAAGAAAAAGAATTAAGAAATCTTTGTGTTGGGCCAAAAGATGCAGATATCATAGCAAAGCTGTACAACACAGCACAACGTCCCAATTGTCCTTTTCAAAGCTAAATTGAGGAAGATGACAATATTTGTGATACCATCTGAAAATAAGGTGTACTATACCCTGCAGCAGCTGCTAAAACCAAATGCTACATCTTGTAACACCAAAATCACAACATTTAAAATGCTGATTAGATTAATTGTGCTACATACACTCTGGTGTTAGGTTCATGTTAATCTCCCCAAATAGAGTAGATCACTTTTTATTCACAAGTTTGTTGGGCTGGTCGACTTTCCTGAAGGTTACGGGTGTGTCCTGCTCTGTTCTTTGCTTTCTGTGATGTCTTGCATTTACATTTTCATTCCAAGGAAGAAAATGCCTGTGACAAGGTTGTAGCACTCTCTAGGGGGGGTTGTGTTAGGACCAGTTTTTCCATGTTTTTGGAGTGTTAAACAACACGTGATATCAGTGGCATTGTGGAACACCCCCGTAATCTTGTGACAGGTTCAGAAACAACCAATCAGAAGTCAGCTAGTGTGTATATGGGCAGGGCTTGGGAAGACCAACGTTACTTTTACCAAATCTGGTAAATCAATCAACTAAAAAGGCAAAGCCCTGTAAACTATAACAAACTTTTGAGAACATCATCTTACGGTGCATCTTTGGACCCATCAAAAATGAAAACAAAGAAGAATTAAGAGTAAGACACATCAAAATTTATAAATATGTTTACACCACCATTAATTACTGGCATTATGAGGGCACTCTGCAGTGGCTAGGACATATAGATTGGCAGATAAACAGAGTGGGACAGAATCTGCACACACAAAAGGAATTGAATGGAAGTAGATCATAAGGCAGACAATGAAAATTGTGGGCAGACAGACCTACAAAGACTCTCTAACTGGAGAAAGAAGGCCAATTACTCCTCAGGACAGGTATCTGTAGCAATGAACTAAAGGGCCCAGAATGCTTAAAAAGAAGAAATAAACAGTAGTATATTGCAGTGCTTCCCGTCCTTTTTAGGATGAAATTTTTCGTTATTTGAAGCCCTACTCTGACTCTTGCCAGGGGCCGCAATATAGCCTGGCCATAAATATGGCCTAAAGGCTGAATGCGGTTTCTGGGACCTCTCCACGTTGATCCTCACCCACATGGTGGTACATTGTGTCATCGGGTGTTTGTCGCTTGTGTGATGTCCTGGTGGGGTAGAAAGTCACTCAGTCAGTAGTATAGTGAGGTGTACCCTTACGCCACAAGAAAGGATTGACACCTAGTACCACAAGAAACAGAGGACTTTACTAAAACCAAGCCCTCGAGGCAGGTTGAAAAGTCCAAACTTTGTTTTTCCTTATATCAAGATCAAGTAGTATAGTGGTTTTCATGATTGCTATCCAAGACAGTAAGTTGAGTTTCACTTAAACTTGAGTTTTAAAAAAAATGGGTACTGAGTTATTCTAGAATTTTCTGGTAATTTTCTGAAAATAATCAGGGATTCAGAAGAGAAACTCACTAGTTTATATGATTTGTTTCTAGCATCATGTTTTGTAGCCAAAACTTTAAAATGTATACTTTTTTCCACAGTTTTAGATACCTGTGTGCTATTTTATTTTTTTCCTTTGTCGTTCTTTTCATTTCCAAAATGGTGTGTATATTATTAAATGTGATTTGTTTTCATGCTGGAGGGAACCTCACTGGTGCATGTGTTATGTTTGTGCCATTGTAGTTATAGCCAAAACTTAAATTTCATATTTTATAAGAATTTTAAATACTTATGTTTGGTGTTTTATTATTGCCTTCTATTTCTCTGTCATTTCTTAAATGGCGTGTATATTATTAAATATGATTATTTTGTGATGTTTGCCCAACAGATATTCTAATGACACTTGTCTTTGTCAGATTTTATTTTTCTTTCTGAGTCGTGTTCTCATGTGCTCAGTTGTTAAGTTCAAGTAGATTGCCTTATCTCAGTAGGTCAGTTAACATTGCTTTATCATTGTGAATTACCCCTCCCATTCCCTCTCCACCTCCCTTTTTTTTCTTATTTTTTTTCTCAGGCATTTCTCATCACCCTAATTGTCTGTTTGTCTCCCTTAGGAACCAGGTAAAACAAGGATGTGATATGGGATTATTTCTGTATTCTCTTTGTGTCATTTTTGACATATAAGGTGTTCACAGTTGAATGTCACTCTGCTGCTTTTCTGTCCATAGTATCCCATGTACATTAATATTCCTTCGCTTTCCTTTCTACTCTCCTTTTTCCAAACGCCATCCACCAGAGATATATCCTAGGGAAAATATGAGGCCTTCTACTTACATGTCAAAACCATCTCCATCTTTCCCTTTGCTAATGTTTGCCACTGAAACATTTAGTTCTCTGCCAGATCTTCATTTGTGAACCTGACGTGGGGATTAGCTTTAGTCAGGAATTTTGTTTTCTGGTTATACTCAACATTATATACAGTACCGGACACCTGTTTGGAGATCATTTGTTTCAGAACAGCCTTTTTGTGCAGAAAAACTCGACTTTGTATTCAAAATATTATCCTAAGGTTTTACTTTAGACAATTTTTCCTCTGTATATTTTCAGAAAAGGTATTTTACTTGGCTATGGAAATCCTTTGCTGGATATTTCAGTTCAAGCCGATAAAGAGTATTTGAAGAAGTAAGTAGCAAAATTTGAATGTCTGTTTATAATTAACTCATCATACGTTCATAGGTTACTGCCTAGAAGCCCAATGAACGCACGATGCGCCGATTTTACGTCTCTTTTGACTACCCCTTGGGCCTGTGATGCTAAACCATCTGGGACTCCAATTGTTAAAAATATATGCACCCAAACCTTCTCCATAACCTTGCACAGAATATAATGCATCGACTTCATTGTAATGATTATTGTCCCATTTGATTCAGTCTCCTCTCTCTTGCTCTGTCTGTGGAATTACTAAATACCTGCCGAGAGCATCACACACACTGTATAGCTCTAACAGTGGTACTAAGAGAGATCTCCTTTAAAAACTGCAACTACACAGTCTATGAAACTAATCTGTGAACTTCAGAGTGCGAGACATCTGGTTTTGATCATTTTTCTATGGAGACCCCTTCAGAGTGTTAAAAAAAAAAAAGAACTAAAACTCCAGAAAGCGGAAAGATGTAGTATATACACCAGCTTAACATGTTGAAAAGATTGACATCTTTACACTAGTTTTCATCCTATTGTCTCATTCTGTCTAGTTTAAGAAGTCTTGAGTTCTGTTGTTAGTAACCAGCTGTATTTGGGATTTATATTCTTTTTCTTATAGTCCATGCCATGTGGCATTGGTAGTCATGTCTGTCCACAGCCTTCTGTCTGGTGCCATTTCAGTCAGTTCTGATACAGATGATCTTCCATGCCATGATGTCAGACTCTCCAGCATCTTCTCTGTCAGTCTTCCTTTGCCTTTTTTTTCCCCTCTGGTTTTTCCCAGCATCACGATGTACTCCAGTTTCCTCATGACATGACCAAAGAATTAAATTGTTTCCTTAATTTATTTTAAGACATCTTTATTACACTTATCGGAGGAGCGGTTACATCATCGGGAGACCCGAGTTTGATCCCTGGTCAGGCGATGGAGTTTTTCTGTCGGCACAGCACATCTGATTTCCGCAATTCATTAATTAGTTTTGCCTTTGATGACTTCCTTGTTATATGGCAATGGGTCTGTTTTTCTCTCCCCATCCCTAAATGGGTTTCCTGAACCCACACAAGGATTAATTCTAGTATTAAATGTATTGCAGATATGACCTACAAGCCAATAATGCCATACTGGCAGATGAAAAGCACAGGCCAATGTGAGTATACCTTATTTTAAGTTGGTTATTATTTGTGCTGCATACGTTCAAATTTATAAGAATGATCATGCACAGGGTTTGGAAGAAGATACAAAGAGAAATAGGGAAGAACCATGGGGTTTTTATGGAAAAGCCAAGATATAGCATGTGCTATGTATTTGCTGAGAATTAACTCTTTCAGCCTAGGTAAGATCTGAGTAATGATGGTTAACGAATTCTTAGCCACGAGGAATAAAGCATAGATTCATCACTTTCATAGGGGCAGCATATAACTTGTAACAGAACAAACTTTGTTGATTTTTAACATAACAGGTAAAATGTTTGTCATAAAAATTAGATCACAACGTGGATTTTTTGGCAAGCCATGGGCAGTAGCTGATTATGTGATGCATTGGTTGGGACTGAAAGAGCATTTGATAGAAGTAAATACAGACCTGCATCATTTGTTTTACTTTTAGAGAATGCTGTTAATAGTTTGCAGTAAAGATTTATGGAAAGAGAGCTAGGAGTAGATTGATAGAAAGAGAGGTAAGAGAAGATTGATGGTGAGAGAGCTAGTAGATTGATGGAAAAAGAGCTAGGAGTAGATTGATAGAAAGAGAGCTAAGAGTAGATTGATGGTGAGAGAGCTAAGAGTAAATTGATGGAGAGAGAGCTAAGAGTAGATTGATGGTGAGAGAGCTAGGAGTAGATTGATGGTGAAAGAGCTAGGAGTAGATTGATGGAGAGAGAGCTAAGAGTAGATTGATGGTGAAAGAGCTAGGAGTAGATTGATGGAGAGAGAGCTAAGAGTAGATTGATGGTGAGAGAGCTAGAAGTAGATTGATGGAAAGAGAGCTGTGAGTAGATTGATGGAAAGAGAGCTGTGAGTAGATTGATGGAAAGAGAGCTAGGAGTAGATTGATGGAAAGAGAGCTGTGAGTAGATTGATGGTGAGAGAGCTAGGAGTAGATTGATGGTGAGAGAGCTAGGAGTAGATTGATGGAAAGAGAGCTAGGAGATGGCAAAAAGAGAAATTTCTTGGATGGCTTAGCCATATGGATGCGACAAGACAAAAACACTGATCTTTGGAATCTGGTGATTTCGTGAGATAAGTGAAACATGACAGACAGCCTATGCTTGTCAGCATGGCACACGATGTGATGATGTAGGGTTAAAAAAAAACATCTACAAGGAAACCTATAATATAACATTCAGGTAAATGGGTAGCTTCTCTTCTTCTTCTTCTTCAGCATTCCGAGACCTTGAGGTTCATTGCTGCAGATATCACCCGCCTCCATTCATCTCTCTGGCTGGCCTTTTCTTTCCTGTTGGTCACACCAAGTGTTTGCAGGTCTGTCTGGATATTATCTGTCCATCTTCTTCTTGGCCTGCCTCGAGGTCTATGACCATTCATCTCCCTGGTGTAAACAGTTTTCACTTCTCTGTCATCTGACATTCTCTCAATATGCCTTTACTTAGCTTCTCTAAAAAGTGAATAATTACTGCTGTCTATAAAGCACTGTAATCCCTTCAAGTGGGTGTGATGGTTACATCCCTCAAGGCCAGTTGCTATCACAGTGAGGATAAAGAGTGTATCCATCCTTGACTTTCTATGAACTGTAGCTAGTGGGTATGACAAGTTACATGCTTGCAGTTTGCATTCGTCTGGATAATATAAATATTGCACTTATAAACTGATGATAAAGGTGAGGTTACATACAAAGACAGCAAAAACAAATTGGTTTGCTCACTTTGGGAGAAAATACCTTGTGACGATAAACCAGATAAAGCATACACCAAAAGAGGAAATGAATGTAAGTCAAGAGGTAGACCAAAAATTATATGGAAAGATATTATCATAGAATACAACAGCATGATGTACCTATCATGAAGGTAGTCAGAAGAGCAAGAAGCAGAACTTCACATCTCCCGTAGCACCCGAATGGGTGACAAAGGTGAAGAAAAAGGTAGTTAAGATTGTACCTTAACAGATTTTCCATCTTTCAATTATTGTCAGTTACATGTGGGGGAAAAAGGTGGTATGTTTGGATTTATTTTTGTGGATATGAGCAAATGTCAAAAAAATAAATGTAAAAATTATAAAGGAGCTAAAATTTAAAGAAATTACTCCTGTATTCTTGTAGGTACAAAGAAATGGCAGAAACTTTTAAAGATGTAGAATATGTCCCAGGAGGAGCCACTTTAAATGCCATCAGAGTTGCTCAGGTTTGTGTGTGTCTGTGTATAATTTTCTGTGTATCTATCTATTTTGATGTGATATATTTTTTGAAGCCAGGTTCCTAGAGGTTGTTCTGAAAAGGAAGAATGATGGTGTCTGTTACTCCAACTGCATACAACCATAACTCAGCATGTTTACAGGGGTCGTAGTGGCCCTGGAAAATGAGAAAAACTTGGTAATGACCGTATAAATTCTCAGGAAATTGAAACATCTTTGGTAAGCTGGCGCAAAAATGAAATTAAAAAATTTTGAAAAAACAGAAACCGTATTTTATGTTGTAAAAATTTAAGAGATTATGGGGGGTTGGCTAAACAAGTTCTGGGTTATTTAGTTTATGTTTGGGTCATACAGATTTGCAGGTAAGCATGATATAAAGGGTTCAGGTTGTTGACTGTAGTGTAAGTAAGCAAGTTCAACAGTTAATTACAATGTTAAACTACCATAACTTCAAGACACAGCCTAGTTGCCAGTTTGAACATAAGTGGCCCAATATATGTAAGTGCAAACATTGGAAGCCACATGGAAGAGTCAAGATGATAGAACATGCGTGTTGAGCAAGACATCTAGTGCACTATAATTGCAGGCACATGAGGCAATAGACAAAAATCCTTCAGCTCTTTCTGTCAAGCAGCCTTTTCTAAAATCATGATAGGCTTATTAACATTATTTTTGGCACCATTCAGGTGTGTAGGAACTGCAATAGTGCAGTGGCTGCATATTTGCCTGCCAGTCTGCAGACATTGATTTTGAATTGGCATCAGGTTTAAAAAAAAAATTAAGCATACAGATTTGGGGAGCTGCCATGGTGCAGTAGCTACACACTCAGTGCAGACCCAAAGGTCATGACTTCAATCTAAACCGAGCCAGACTTTTATTTTTAAAGGACTTTCCAGTTTGACCTGGCCTTAATTGGGTACCAGGTAAAGACGGCTTGTTTACAATTCTCTGAAACTCCACCCTAAGAAATAGAGGAAGAGAAGAAGTAGCAGAAGAAATTTGTCCTGGTCAGTTTTTATAAGGGGGGGGGAAAGGGGGGGGGGGGGTAGTTGAAGAAGAGGAGGGCAAAGATCTGGAATGACAACATTAGGAAATCAAGAAATGTGCAGGACTAAGTAATACACTTATTCATCAAATGTAGGACAGAGAAAAATTGTGGGTTTTGTGGGTTAGTGCTTCCATTGATACACCTCCATGACCCTAAAGGGTCAAGGGCTTAGTTATGTATTGGTCGGCCACTGCCCCTCCTTCTTGGTACCATGCCTTCTACAATTTTTTTTTTCAAGCCACTGTGATGCTAAATATGGCCAAAATATTTCTGCTTCCAAGACAAGATGCTGTTTATTAGCCAGTATCTTTGATGTTCAGGTCTTTTAGAATGTCAGTATTTCTTTTCTTCTTTCTCCATGGTATTCTGAGAATCTTTCTAATGTATTTCAGATCAGGAACTTCTATTTTCTTAAGAACTGGGAGACAGTCCACACCTCACATCCATGTGTTGTTACAGGAAAGGTGCATGCTCTCAAAGTTTTAACTTTGATCTCCTTCTTCTTCTTCTGTGCCTCCTCTTTTACTGCTTCAGGTGTCAAGAGTAAGATATAAGTTGCTGCTTGGACCGTAGACACATCATGGTGCTGTAGAGTTTCTCTGATGTTATCTTCCCATATTGTTCTTGGTCTGCAATATGCTTTGTATGTGATGTTTCTTTGTGCTGATCATGACTGTCTTATGCTTTGATTTCCTTGCTGGTGCTTAACCATAGACTTTTAATGCTGTTTCATCTTTATATTATTGTGGCCACCCTCCTTTTGACTTCTATTGAACAGCCTCCAGTGCAGTTTTTTATGGAGCCTGGATATTCATAGTATGTGATATTAAATTCCTTCATCATTTATTATTATTTTTTTTGGTTGGCAGCCAGTTTTGTCTGTAGACGTTATATTTGTTTTCTTTAAATTGAAGAACAGGTCAGTCACTATATATTTTCAAAGATATTGAAAGTATTCAAGAAATAAAAGCACACATTTTGTTTTTCATCTGCACACAGTGGCTGCTTGGGGAACCTGGTGCAACAACATTCTTTGGCTGCATTGCACATGATAAATTTGGTGACATCTTGACCAATGCAGCTTTGGCCGCTGGTGTGAATGTTAAGTTCCAGTATACGGACAAAGAGCCGACTGGAACATGTGCTGTAGTCTGCACAAACAAGGACAGGTTTGTGTTACAATTTTTTTGTCAGTTGTGAAAGTGGGTCACAGGCATTGTCATCCTGAAGGGTACAATGAAAGTGGGCTATTCTAACACTGCTGGATTTGTACTTGAATCACCCATCTGTTGGGATTTGTTAAATATAACTGAACTGTAGGTTTCACAGTTATTTGTTCCTTGCCACCTTCAGGCACTCATGTCTCATCCTTCTTCTTCCTGTTCGCTAACTGGATATTCTGGCGGAAAGTCCTGGTTGTTCACCCCCTTATAGATTTATATCTTGTTCTGAGACTTGAATTTTTTGCAATCAGATCTATTTTACAAATCTGGTTTATTTTTGTGCAGACTGTTGGTTCTGCCTCTCAGACAGGAGCACTCTGACTTTGAAGGAGACTGTGATTATATCTAAGTTGGCCAGGCCTCCAGCTGGAGACTCGTTTTTGGAATGAGCACGGAGAGGTGTAGTTAGGACTTGACTGTTATCAGCACTGTTCCTGGTACACCACATTACACCCAGACAGCTTTCCTTTTCCATTTAAGCTGAGTAAAAGTAAAGAATCCTTATCAGTCTTTGAGACCCATTGGGGCATTTGATGCTAGAACCAAATAAATAAAAAAACACTAGAGGGGTGATTTGGTTAACTTTATACAGACTGCCTTTACTGCTCATAAAATTTCCTGGTACTCACTGTAGGCTAGATCAAGACTACCCTAGGCCAAATATAACCCCTTGCTTTACTATCAATTCAGATCCGAGACCTTCTGGCCGGCAGGTTAGTATCTAGCCATTCCATTACAGTGGCTCCCTTAATTCTACTGAACTGTTTTATAAATTTGAAGTTTCCTGTGGGTATTCTGAGGCCATAATATGAGGGGGGGGGGGGGGGGGGGTATATTAGACACAAACCCCTCCCCCCTTTTTTTTCCCTCCTCCTCAGTTAGCATGCTGTTAAAGTAAACTAAGAGGAGTTTTCTTTCTGGGTGCCTCTGCCTTAGAGGCAAGGAACCAACGATCTGCATATAAATAAGCCTATTCTGTAAAATGGATGTGGACACAAAAATCAAGTTCTGGAACAAAGCTAAAGTCCAGAAGTAGACAAACAGTCAGGACTTTCAACCAGAATTTGCAGCCAATGAATGCTAAGAAGAGGAAATTTGAAGTTACTTTGCTGAGTCACATTGAGTATCGTGAACTTCCGGGGTGTCAAGAGAAACCATTTGTATTGCAGTGTAATTAATTCAGTTTTTTGTGAGCTTCATTATGTGTTAATGTAACTCTGTAGTAACACACCTAATGAAATACAGCAAAATATACCTGGCAATAAATTGTGCAATGTGTTGCTTGTGTCCACATAATTTACGGGAAAACATTGTTTTGAATTCTCTCATATTGCTGGATTGACACATTGATCCCTTCTTTGTTAGCTCTGTAGAAAATCTCCACGTTTTGGGTTACCTGGTGCTATGTTGTTTCCCGCTAGCTACGGGCGCTCATGTTGCAAGCATCATTTCTTAGATCTGTGGTGAGTTTTCAGTATGACAATGTCATTCTACATTTGTTCTCTTCATTACCCCACTGCAAGTATTCCACTTCCCTGAAAAAAAAGGTCTTGTTCACTCCTTGGTGTACATCAGGCATACAGCATGAGTGCCATTTATTTAATTGACCAGTCAGTATTTTATGAGTGATGTAATCACCAACTCACCAGTTGCCTTTGCTTTAAAAAAAAATTCCTCTAAAAAACTTTTAAAATGCATTAAAAAAAATAATTCTGTAACCAACTCTTAAAATGCAACTGATCATAAATTTCTAAAAATGCAACTGACCATAAATTTGAGTAATATCTTTTTCTTAAATTTAGCATTTGTTACCTAAGAAATCTCTCTCTCTGTCACGCGCACACACACACACACATATATACCTATATATATATATATATATATATATATATATATATATATATATATATATATATATATATATATATATATATATATATATATATATATATATATATATATATATATATTTGGTTTTGTGTGACTGTATAGACATAAAATATAAAACGTTTCTTAGGTAGATTGCTTGGATCTTATAATGTTCTGCATTTACCACTGGTGTGCTTCAGTGATGTATGGCTCCAGCTCTCAGCTAAAAGTTTGTTGGTTGCTAACTTGTAAAAATGTATTAATCAAAATTGCAGTATACTGTATTTTATATTTTTTTACCAGGTCATTAGTGGCCAATTTGGCAGCTGCTAATTGCTTTACTGAAGACCACCTTGACAACCCTGATAACTGGGCTGCTGTTGAATCTGCTCAGTTCATATACTTTGCCGTAAGTTCTTTTTTCATTACGTTCTGCAGCAGGTTCAGTTTTTATATTTTTGTACAGTGCCATATTGTTCAAATCCTCATTAAGGTGGATGTTTATTTTTGACTTGTTTTCGTGGGTTGACCCGGCCAAAAATGGGTAGCAGGAAGTTTCATGGGAAGTTAAGGTGGTTGATGTGGTTTTCACTGCTCATCAAATGTCAGTTGGTCTGTAAAAGTCTGGGTGTAGCACAGTATGCCCAATGTTGCTAGTGGCATGAAAAGGGTCCTTAACAGTGGGTAACATCTTATGGTGGTGTGCAGAGAAAGAAATAGCAAATATCTTAGGTTAAAAGATAGGGACATTTTTGGAACCAGGATATTAGCTACAGGAGGAACAAGATAGAGCCCATCATAACTTCTATAATCTGAGCAGCGTCAGCAAGATCTAAATTTGCTAACACTCTTCCTTGTGTGGGTTTTGAGGCTTAGTTTTGGAGAGAGCAAAGATTAGACTAACTGTCCGCCTTAGCGAGCATGTCATAGGCTGCTCATCAGGGGTGTTTACTTGAGAGTTGGAGTGCCTCCACGCGAGAGGCCAGGAACCATACTGCATACAAATAAGCCAGATCTGTAAAACCCATGAGCATGCAAAATTCAAGTTCTGGATCAAGACCAATCTCCAGGAATGGACAAACAACCAGAGCATTCTGTCTGAGTTTACAGCCAGTGAATGTGAAGAAGAAGATCTAAAACTGAAGAAGTGGGATGCCCAGTTTTGTTCCTCACTGGCTTTCCTGTCCCTTATAGTACCCTGAATAGTGCCTGTTAGCTTACTTTATAAAGCTGGGTTGAGCTCAGATCTGTACTAAATTCTTCGGCAGGATGGAATTTTACCGAGACCAGTCTTTTTTGCAAGCACTAACCATCAGAGGCATGTTTTTATAATTGACCTGGGCTTCCAAGTGAACCTTTTTTTATTTTTGACCTGTTCTTTCAAGTCAACCCTTTATATTATTGACCTGGGCTTCCAAGTCAGCCCATTTTATGATTGACCTGGGCTTCCAAGTGAACCCAGCCTAAAATAGCACCATCGATCAGTTGATTTATCCCCTCCAGGCTGCTACTTAAATGTTTACCACACTATCCTGAGATTTATTCTGGAAGGCAAACAAAGATCCCCGCACACACAAAAACAGCACCAAGTAATCTTCTGGGCTGTAAATCTATTTGTCTGGCATCATATACCTAATGTGTAAGTAGCATGATGTGTCTTTCAGTTTTTGTACTAACTTCTATACATCACAACTTCAGAGTGCATACCTACACACTTTACAAGAGAGTGCAAGTTTTAGAGACAATGTCTGTAAACCATTACAGTTTATAACAAAATATTTTGTTAACACAATTTTTTTTTTAGGGTTTCCCATTAACTGTGTGTCCATCTGCAATGCTGAGGATGGCTAAGCACGCTGCCGAGAAAAATAAAGTTGTTATCATGAACATGTCGGCACCGTTCCTGTGCAGCTTCTTCAAAGAACCTATGCTCCAGATGCTACCCTATGTTGACTACTGGTTTGGAAATGAATCTGTAAGTTCCTGCAGTAATATGACTTCTCTGAAAGTGCTCTGCTGACTTGTGTCAAGTGACCACACTTCTCCACATCTATTTATCTGCTTTGTGGGCTGGTACCTTTCCTTGCCATGACAAAAGGCTGCCAAGAATATTCTCTCATTATTTTCCTTCCAAATCATTATTATGAACCACTTCTGCCATTGAGCATTGTGGTGTTAAATAGTTTGCGATCGAATGCATGCTGAACTGACACTGGCTATTGCAGTGCTGTGAAAGCGTAAAGTGAGTTTAATGTTATCAGTCCATAATTTTCATGATGGTCCCCTTACTGTTATTGCTGATCTTCTGTGATGGTCATATCTCTTCCCCTAAATCTTTCCAGTGATCACATGTTCCAGTTTTTCTTTTCTCATGGGGCCAAAAACTGTCTGTTAGTGGTAAGTTGTCATTATATCTTAGCTTCTTTCAAAACACTTAGATTACTTAATTTGATATTCAAGAAATGTTCAGCATTCTTCTGTAGAACCAGAGCCATGGTAACTCAGTGACTAAATGCTTGCATGTCTGGCCAAAGGTCTTTGGCCACCGACTGCTTCACAGTCAAGCTTTAAGATACTGAACTTGAGTACCAGTTAAATAATGATAATATATTTATTATGCTTCACACAACTAAGTCTCGATGCCTGCTTTATTTGCTGAAGTTGTAGCTTGTGTCAACAGAAATATGGTGAGTTTTAGGCTACCTTGGCAACACAGACTTTCACACTGCTGTGTATTTATGAAATTGTAAAATCTCACATCCATGAATGAAGAATGTGAAACAAATAATTTGAGAATCGAAACTGAAAATACAGAACAAATGTCAGTAGGAAAAAAGACACAACCTAAATATAGCAGTAGAGTGCAAAAGCATTAAACAGGGATCTAAGCTTAAATATCTGGGAACATCTTCCACCAAAGATGGTAAACTGGATGAAGAAATTAGCATTTGATGCAGTAAAGCAAACCAAGTACTGGGACAGCTAGTACCCCACCTCACCCCCAATTCTTTCTCTCCTACAGCATAAGACAATGGTGATCAGCACAGAGAAACATCTAATATAAAGCATATTCATACCTAACCTATGCTACCAATGCCAGACATGGTCACTCACAGCAAACGTAGAAAGGAAAATAATTAACCATTGAAATGAGATGCCTGCGAAGGGCTGCAGGAGTGATACAAAGAGATAAAATCAGAAATGAAGTCATAAGAGAAAAAGTCGATACAGAACCAATTCTAAATTACACAGAGCAAATCGAATGGCTTGCCCACTTAGAATAATACCCTGTGACGCTATACCATACACAGCATACACTTAAACAAGGAGAAGGACGCAGAGCACGGGGTAGACAAAGAGCAAGATGAAAAGATAACATCAGAGAACCCTACAACAACACAATGCATCTGTCGAGAATGTGGCCAGAATAGCCAAACCTTATGTCCCGAAGCAGTAAAAGGGGAAGTGAAAAAGTAGTGTTATTTATGTGCATATTTCAGCCAAATAGATTTACATTTCAATGCTTCTGTAGAGAATGTGGCCAGAATAGCCAAAACTTATGTACCGAAGCAGTAAAAGGGGAAGTGAAAAAGTAGTGTTATTTATGTGCATATTTCAGCCAAATAGATTTACATTTCAACGCTTGTGTAGTATGCTCGTGAGATATAGTGCAGTATGCTAGAAAAGGAATTGTTCAATCTAATGCTAGGAAAATCATATTTTGACAGTAGTAATTTCTCAACCTTGCCAGTTTTCAGGGCTTTTTGCTGCCAGGACATTTGTGTCTATTTATCTCTGCTCTCTAAAATTTAATTTCACCATCAACCCAGACTCTTTTTTCTGGTTTAATCCTCATTTTCTTCTCTTTATCTTGTTTGTCCTATGACTTTTGGGTAATTATTTTTCATTATTTAATGATGTTATATTTATTTTTGTTCTTATAATGAAGTAGGAATATACTAGTTTGAAACATTTGCTTCAGGTTTACTTTTATGTTCAATTTGTTGGCAGCAGATTAATTAAGTAATAAATATTTGGGTCATGAACTTCGCTTGTTATGTTGCAGGAGACAGCAGAGTTTGGAAAGGCAAATGATCTTGGTGTAAGTATCCCCTTAGGAGAGTTGCTTAAAGTATACCATACTGTATATTAGCCACAACTATCCTGATTACTTATTTTGTCTGTCTGCCTGCAATCTACCTACCTACATATATATTTTCTCTCTGTCTAGTGAGTGTGTCTGTCTCTCTGTGTGTATCTATTTGCCTGTCTGTCTCTCTGTCTACATTCTTTCTGTCTATATCAATCTGTTAATCCTTCATTAAAATCTTGATTAAGTACATCATTTATTCACCTATCATCAGAAGTTAGATTTTCCCTGTAAGCTAGTTATATACTTCGTAATCCTCTTATGAAAGGCTCTGTCTCCACAGACCACTGATGTGAAAGAAGTTGCCGTAAAGATTGCATCCTGGGAGAAAGTAAACAAACTGAGACCAAGAACCGTAGTCATCACTCAAGGTTGTCAGCCATCTATAGTTGTCACAGGTTGGTAACTTTTCATCCTGCAAACATCTTGCATGAGAGAATGGAGGTGGAGGCAGTAACTGCAGTTTTCTGATGGCTGGAGAGTAGTAAAGCCTGACATGTTGGTAATTATAACTGATTGGCCGAGCATGCTTTGGAAAATAGGAACTAGTGTCTTGTGCTCAGAGTGACTGGGGCGGGTTGAGAAAGGGATTTGTAACCTTTCATATTCTAGTGGGTTAACCCTTTCGCTGCTATGGACGAGATAACTCGTCTGCCCGGCAGACTGCTAAAGACGAGATAACTCGGCTGCAATTTTCTGTGCCCTCACTGCTAAGGACGAGATATCTCGTTCTGGACATTTTTTTACAGATTGCTAAGGACAGTAATTCTTAGGGGTGAAATAGCAATACACGTTAACTTAATCTGATCAAACTGACCCGTTTACATACAATTAAAACCCTTATCAAGTGAGTTGAGGCGTATTTAGATGCATTTCACGTTATCCTGTTTCTTTGTTACCATAGAAGCATTGTCGGTGATCGGTAATTTTTTTGCCCTAAAATATATTTCTGGTTTTGCGTTAGTCTAAATTTTTTTTTTTTAAATACAAAATAACAAGAACATTTGTTTAAATAAAGAAAAATTAATTGAGTTTCTTTCAAGGAGTAGTAGTAAGGATCACTTTGAAACGTGTGAGTTATATGAGCTGCGTTATCTTCGCGGCACGCCGGCGGACACGTGTACTTCTGGCTGTGAACAAGACTGACCAGTGACTATATGACCTAGCTATCTTCATCGACTGGATTTGAAACGGATCCAAAATAATCAAAAAAAAAAGATATGGTCACGTACTGACGTGATGATTAATATTAATGTTAATTATATACTATACAACTGACATAAATGTGTTTGTCTATTAAAGTGTACAATACTGGTCTTTTTTTCAGTTCATAGTTTCATGTGAATTTCTAGTGTAGTTGGTATCACGTCTGCCTTGCAATCGAAAGGTCCAGCGTTTAAACCCTACGTGCCGTTTTTTTTTTTTTTAATTAATTATTTTAAATGCAAATTTTAAATTTAAGCTGTTAGCATTTTTGGCAACAGATAACCAAAGTAATAATTAATTAAACACCCTGTCACGTGCGTTCAGGTGGATTTAGATGCTTTACACGTTATGTGAAGCGTGGTTGGTGTACTGTGCACATTCATTATATAAAGTTGTTGTGGTGAAAAACACATCTGTTGCCGAATTTCACTTAAAGTTAGTAAGAGAAATTCTACATAAATATTGCAAGGAAAAGAGAAAAAGTGTAGGAGGACAAAAAAGTGAAGATCTGCCACTTCGTTTAGTACAAAGGCATTTCCCTTCAATAATAGAGTCCGTAACATCGCAGAAAAAATTCCCAATCAGAAAGTGTGTGGTATGCGCAAAAAGCAAAAAATGACGGAAAACCAGATACATGTGCAGGGAATGTGATTTGGCATTGTGTGTCGCACCTTGTTTTGAAATATTTCACACACAAAGATATTATAAATAATAATAAAAACCATGTATTTGCTCACTAAAGTGTTTTGTGTTTGCTTTGTAAGTTTGTAGTGTTTTCTTTTTGTTAATGACTTTTCACAGCGTAGTAATAGCGCGTCTGACTTGTCAGCGCAAAGTTCAACCACACGCCTTCAACGATTTTTTATTTTAGGTGTACAATTTTTACCCCGTGCCGTAAGCGCGTCTTCTGCTTTTGAAGGAAAAAACGGTATTCAGCACAGGGGGAAACATTAGCTCTCGCCAGGCTTAGCACAGTGGTTACGTTGGCTGGCGGAGGGCGCAGCAGCGAAAGGGTTAAGAGGCTGGTAACTTTTCACTCTTTAGTAATATGAGTAATTGGTAGGAATCAGAATTATGATGTCTGCCTGTCTTGAAAAAATTGTGCCAGTTTGGAGTATATTATTTACACGACAACTACCTCAGAGGAACCTGTTTGTCATAACTTTTCCTAATAATTTGGTAATAAATGGAGTATTTAACTCTCTTCAACAAGTGTCGAGAAATAGGACCTGTCTGCAAATATTAATATTCCTGATTTCAGAATCCTATTGATTACAGTATTTCTGTCGGTAAAATAAATTGCGTCATGGTACACTGTGAAACATGTAGTATTAAAATGTTATTTTTCTTATTATAAAAATAAATTGTTTAAATCTGTGCAAATTATATCAGATTCGTATTTGTGATAACAAATAAAGTTTAAAAAAATGTGATAACAAATAAAGTTAAAAAAAAACTTATCTGGTAAAGTTTGCAAAGATTTAATAAATTAAATTTATAATAATAACTGATACATCAATACAACATGTTTTACAAATTATATTACATTAGTATTTTTGATTAAAGCTTTTAACTCATTTACAATGGGCTCTGTACCAAAACATAGAACAGGACTCGTAGCGACCCTTGAAAACTTGAATAACCCTTGAATAGCAGCTAGAACCCTTGACCCTGCTAAAAGGACAGCAGTGTTAGGATTTTAGATTTTAGAATTAAAGAAAGCAAAGTAGCGAGTATCCTATGTTGACTCAACCTAAATTGGGTACAATAATAAGTTCTGGGAAGTGAAGATGTTTGGCTTGCAGTGGTAGAAGTGTCAAAATTAGTACACCTCCTCCTCCTTGATCTTTGCTACTTAGGTCTGGTGGGCCGCAGAAAAGTTCAGATAGGCTACCAAAATTGATTAACACCTAACATATGAGAATCAAGTGATGCTGCGCCAACTGAAAATTGTATTTTAAAATTAAAAAACAAATCATGACCTGTTAGTCGGAATAGAACTCAGTTGTAATTTAAGAAGACCCTTACAGTGTTTTCAAATTATATTATGTTATTGATCTGTGCATTTCATACACTGGTCGCTAAAGTAAAACTAAACTAAAGATAATTTGTCACGTCTTTAGGCTCATCGTGAATATGGGAAGAGCGCCTATATTTTTTCAGACCATCGGCACTAGTTGGGTAATGTGGTCAGCATTACGCCCGCCGTCTTTTCTTCCCCAGGACAGCCATCCTGGTACCCATTTTAGGCTGGGTCGACCTGCGATGCCCCATACCACGATAAAAATCCACGCAGCTAGCAGTGGGTTTCGATCGTGGTACGCTGGAATTATGAGTCGGGCTCGCAGCGCTTAAGCCACGGACGCCGCATTACACTGGTTGCTACAGTTTGTATTGAATGGTTTAAATGATGTTTTGTATTGGATGATTTATTCTGCATGTTACATTACAGATGGCAAGGTAACCGAGTATCCTGTGATTCCAGTTAATGAAGAAGATATTGTTGATTCCAATGGAGCAGGAGATGCCTTTGTTGGAGGTACAGTGCAGGATATGTATAATTTCATAAAGGGAAAAATATAAAACTTTTGGAAGAGCCAAGAGATTCTCTCTCCCCCCCCCCCCCCCCCCTCCTTCCCTCCCTCCCCTCTCTTCTCTCTCACACACATGCACACACACAAACCACCTCATCTGTGCACTACTGCAGTTAATCTCTTAACTTGTTGTCCCAAACAGTGCATTATGTCTGTTTGGTTCATCACCTTAAATTCCAATAATCATATGTTGTATTCACTTATCCGAAATATTTGATCTCAGTATTTTAAAAAGATCTGTCTTCCACATTGTCAACTTCACAATGTTTTAACCCTCTTTTTCACCCTATCAGTGTAGTTATCTTTCTTTCTTTCAAGTGGATAACATATTTTCCATGTAGATTCCAGGATGGGGGGGAGGAGGGGGGGGAATAGGCACGCTGTGCCCTAACAAGCATATCATAAAAGGCAACTAATTCGTTTTCTGAAACTGGATGTACTGGGCAAAAAGGCACAGATATCACAGCCTAGCTGTAAACCTCATCACATCATCCAGTCTGCCATTATAAAGGCAAACAGAAGATGAAGAAGAAAAGGATATATCCATAATTGCCAGTTGTTATCTCAAGGGGTATGATGGATAGATATATCAGTCCTTGGCTTTCTGTGGCCAATATCTTGTGGGTATAATGAGTCACATGCTTGCGACTTGTGCTATTATGTGTTCATGAGAGTTGTCTCCACTTTGTAAAACTCTGCAGTTGTTACTATTTTAGTCCTTAGTTTACTTGCTGCAATCAGTTTATGATAACATGCCCTGCACATTTTGACACAAATCACATTATAAATTTATTCACAATGGAATTTTTCTTATAACTATTCTGAAATAACCTAAAGCAACAACAGAAGCTGTCTATCTTAGAGTTTGCATTTGGTCAGTTATAACAATAGGCAAAATAAAGACTTTGTTAACAACTGTCATTCTTTGAGACATTGTACATGTGCTGGAGCACTAGAAGTTCATTTCAGAGTTATTCTATTGACACTTTCTTTTTGGAAAAGTTGTGAATTAAAAAACAAATTATGGATGAGAATAGAATAAACCTATTATTTAAATTTCTTCTATCTGTGGTTAGGAATTCATGACTCTGGTGCAGTCTAGAAAAAGTACTCACAACAGAAGCAATCAGTTGTACCTTTATTGCCCATTTAAATGTTTAATATTATGCACTTCTTTATTTAATCTTTTGTTTTACCGCTTGTGCAGTAAAATGTTGCAGAGAGGAGTTAAATGTAGTTTTCTGTCATTTGCTAGTTACATAGCTTGCGTTTATGTCATACTGCATTTCTGCAGTATCTATTATACTCCCTACACCCATCGCTTTCTCTGTCGGCTTCTTGTCTTGTACCCTACAGTTCTATGTAGTATGCTCTAGCTGCTGGCTGATTTTGTTCCATTTTGACCGAGTGACCAAACCATTTGATTCTTTGATGTTTTGTGAAGCCGTTTACTAGTACTGTGGCCACCATTGTTCTTAATCCTTCATTAATGACTCTTTTCTTGTTTTTTTTATGCTGCATTTCAAATACATTTGGTCTCACATGTTTTAACTTTGCATTAATTTTTTTCTTGGACTGTCCATGTCTGGCATTGACAGCACAAAGTTTGTACAAATAGCTCATTGATTGAGTGAGAATGCATTTGTGGTTTTCCATAATAGTCAAACTCTCCCTTACGCATATGAAGCAAAACTTTCAGTGACTGAAAATTATAACTTTGCACATATATATCAACTTTGCTGGTTATACATAAAAAAAAAAAAATCTGTTCTTCTCCTGACTAAAGTTAACATTTAAAATTTAGTTACACATACAATTGTAAAATCAAAATCTTCCATAGTTATCCTCCTGTGAGGTGAAATTTTTCGTTATTTTGAAGTTCCACCCTGGCTCTTGTCAGGAGCCACAATATAGCCGAGCCATGAATATGGTCTAATGGCTGAACGCGGTTTCTGGGATCTCTCCACGGGTGATCCTCATCCACGTGGTGGCACTTTGTGTCATCGGGTGTTTATCGCTTGTGTGATGTCCTGGTTGGGTAAAATGTACTACTAGTACTACAATTGTAGCTATTTTTCAGGTGTTATTACAAATGTCAGTTTTTCCTCCTTTATATATCTTGTGGAGTGATATGAACTATCGCATATTATCATCAGTACTCTTATTTTTTTCAGGCTTCCTTGCTCAGTTGGTACAAGGACGCTCTCTGGAGGAAAGTATCCACTGTGCCAACTACGTGGCCAACATCATCATGAAACGAACAGGATGCACTTTACCAGAGAAACCTGACTACAAGCCTTTGAATGGCAGTTAACTGCACTAGTAAATTGTTATATTTGAAAACAATAAAAATGAACTATAGTGTCTATGATTTACTGTTTTATTGTATTAAAAACTGATACTATGCACTGATCTCTACATAATAATTTGAAACATAATTTGTTTGTTAAGGAATTTTAAAAAACTGGCCAAGTTAGAAGCATTTTTTGTTTTTTAAATTGTCGTCAGGTGCTGTAGTTGTGCAGCATTCTTCTTTTTTTTTTTTTTTTTTTTTGAGTTCACCCACCCTTAAAGGGCGATTGGAAAATTGCGTTGAAATTTGTTTACAGCTAAGCTGAGATACCTGTGCCTTTTGGTCCAGCGCATCAGATTTCAGTAAACCCTTGATTAGCTCACCATTTACGACACACTTGTTAAAGGGCAGTGAATTTATTCTCTCTCTCCCCCCCCCCTTCTCAGAAAGTACACAGGGGTTTTGCGGCATTCAAACCCCTTCATCATTTAAACATTAATCATGAGGCTACTTAGTGGGTTGCGGGTGGTTTGAATCAGTGTTCTTCAAACCGTAGGCCACCAAAAAGTTCTGCTCAGTTATGTAACGAGGTAGGGTAGGCCGTGTTTCTCTTTCAGTCTGTAGAATTAACACCTCAAGGCCATCTTTTTTGTGTGAAAAGACTAAAACAAAATGAAGGAATCAAATAGATGTTTTTGTAGTGCTTCATATATCAGAAACAACGCTCTAACCACATATCAAATTTTTTGTTGTTGCCTATAAGCTGCAGCTGATGTCACACTAGTTAAAAACTAATTTTGTGACATCAGATTTAATATGTAAACTGCTGTCTACTTTGTTCTTGTTTCTTTGTTTGGTTAGCTGTCGATTTCTAGTTTCGGTATAAAGGTTGAAAAAGACTGGTTTAAAGAGTCACAGCTTGTGTCTCTGACTCACAGAACTTGTGCTGATCACGGTGTTGACTTTTACACAGACAAAAATAGTCAACCAGCAGATGGGATACTACCCACCCCTCATAGGTTAATATATCTTCTGCTCATGTAAAGGTTAACAGGGATACTACCCACCCCTCATAGGTTAATATATCTTCTGCTCATGTAAAGGTTAACAGGGATACTACCCACCCCTCATAGGTTAATATATCTTCTGCTCATGTAAAGGTTAACAGGGATACTACCCACCCCTCATAGGTTAATATATCTTCTGATGTAAAGGTTAACAGGGATACTACCCACCCCTCATAGGTTAATATATCTTCTGCTCATGTAAAGGTTAACAGGGATACTACCCACCCCTCATAGGTTAATATATCTTCTGCTCATGTAAAGGTTAACAGGGATACTACCCACCCCTCATAGGTTAATATATCTTCTGATGTAAAGGTTAACAGGGATACATACTACCCACCCCTCATAGGTTAATATATCTTCTGCTCATGTAAAGGTTAACAGGGATACTACCCACCTCTCATAGGTTAATATATCTTCTGCTCATGTAAAGGTTAACAGGGATACTACCCACCCCTCATAGGTTAATATATCTTCTGCTCATGTAAAGGTTAACAACTGAGGACATATGTAATTTTTAAATATTCTTTGGCAGTTGGAAATTTAAGACGTCAAATGAACTACTGCCTGGGCAACATTTAGAAATGTGAAGACTGCTCACAAAAATTGAGAACGTAGTGCTGTGGCAAATATGCTTTCCTGCAGTCCGATGTTCATGTTTAAATCGAGATGTGAATTAAAAAAATCTTTTTTTCCATGGGCCAGTTCAGCCTGAACTCTTTCAGTACCAAACATACTAACCATATGTGACTGCATTTACTTCATATGCACCAGTCAAAATATTATATTTGACCATTTTTGTTTGTAGACAGGGCATCGTTTGGAGTAAACAAGGGAGGGATCATATTTCATAGGCAACACATTGTCTCTACAATACTGACCCAAAAACACACAAGACTCCAGGGTTGTGTATTTAGCTCCTGTGTATGTAGTATACCCATGATTTTGTTGCTGTCATTAACGTGTCTGTTAATCAGCATGACTGTCCGGGATTGAAGGAGATAAAATAGGTACCAGGAAATTGTATGGGTCATTGTGGTACCTATTAAAAAAAACCATTATCCATTCAGGTGCCAGTTGGTCAATGCAGTTTTGGGCTAGTACCACATACCCATTACACCATTAGGCATTGAAAAAAGGTCTTTTTAATTATTATTTTACCAACAGAAAAACTAAATGTGATCTATGTAATTCTGGCATTCATACAACATAATCTCTGTCAGTGCTGCTCATGTGATGCACCATCTTGTCTGTTCCAGTGTGATCTGTGGGGAAGATTTACTTTGTTTAGACTTGCAGTGGCTATCCTATGCAAAACCAGGCAATCTTAATCATTAATGAAAAGTTTGTTGTGATCCTGTGCAGGACGTTACAAAACAAACTCCAGTACTTTGTGGCTGTCTGTGGTTTTACTATGGAGTTTTTCTTTCTTTCAGAAGTTTGCTATTGCTTCTGAATAGTTAACGCTGCATACCATTGTCAAAATCAACACAAAGCTGTCTGCTGCCAAATATCTGGAGCTGAAATGAATCAGATATTTCAGAATTAGAAACCATCAGGCAGCAAAATGATTTTTTTGTTTGAAACATTTTAACAAAAATATCACCACTATGTCAAATTCACCTAAATACAGCACTGACGATTTTCATAACTGTTATTTCACATTTCATTATGCCTAAGGCACACAAGTGAAATTCCTACTCATATGTATTTGAGTATATTTTTAGACAAGACTATCATTTGCAGCTAGTATAACCCTGGCCATCTTAATTTGCCAGGAAATATTCTATTATCCACAGTAGACTGGGAGTCTACGTCAACTAGGGAGGAAGAGATTCATACATAATTTAGGCATATGATCACTAGACTGCGAACAATTGTGCCAGCCAAAACAGAGCCTGCGTGACCTTTGGAGCAGTCTATAAAACATCCCCCCAAAGCCATGATATTCATATATATGCCATACATCTCCACAGATTTCTCTATCTCTCTATATATAAATAGGCTGTTGAATGCTGCAACTATATATATATATATATGATCTAATGATTGCCTAGTACATATTAGCAAGACCCTCCCCACCAAACACAGTATTGTTACTTGTTCACTGTTGTCAGTGCTTCCTGTGTCATACATCCCTGTTTTCTGTGGGTTATGTTAATTCAGATCTCCTAAAAATATTTGAAACCACATTTTTATCAACAATTATACATATTGATGGAGCTTGATTATCATTATCCTGTTGACATGTGTTCATTTCAAAGATATTAAATTTTTTATTGCTAACTGACCTTTCGCTTATTTGAAAAAGCCAACACGTATTTAGGCTTTGAAATTTTATTTCTTGAATTTTGAAGGGAGATTTCAAGATAAATCGCTATATTTTTAATTTTCTCATTTTTTTCCATAGCTCCCAATTACTATTTAGCTGTGTAAAAAAATTATGGTTATAAGTTCCAGCAACTTTAGATTGCAAGGCTGTGGTCCCTTGCATATTTGTTGCAACACCTGGAAAGAATTACGGACAAAGAGATAAGAGGACAGCAGATGGGTTGCTCTTGTGGAAGGACAGCAGATGGGTTACTCATGTGGCACTTAGTATGCAAATAAAGTACTTGACTTTGTTTTTCTTTCCAAAATGGGACCCTGGAACCTGCATGGGGAAGATTCACTTCCACATAACTTCTGCTTGAATCACTGGTTATCAGTAATTTTTTCAAAAGGTTTTGTGATTGCAACCCTGATGTTCACACTGAAAGTCAAGATATCTGACTGGTTTTCTTTTCTACTACAGGAAGAGAAAATATAATGTTAAAACTTTATGTCGTAGCAGGGCAGACCAGGCCATTAGCCTTGGTTGGCGATTGGTCTAGGAGGGTAGCTCTGATGGGCAAACAGACAGTGCATTGCTTTTTTTGATCTGACATCTTCTGCAGCATGCTTTATTTCAAACATTGGTGTTACCTTTTCTTTGCAGTAAACAAGGCAGGCTAAGAGATGGATTGTGCTGCATGGACAGCACATTGTCTCTGCAATACTGCCCAGGTTTAGAGCTTTGGGCAGCACTTGTCTTAAAGTTAGTGAGTCATGCTAGTCACATTTGCCGACACCATGGGCCGTGATTCTTATGTATCTTCATAGCATAATATAACATTACTGAAAGGGTGCAAACCATTCATTCATAATCACCATAGATGCTTAATCCTGTGATTTTCCATCTGCTGCTGGTCCAATATTACCATCTTCAGGGAGACCAGGCTCATCCCTGTCCTTACTGGCTGAGGAAATGCCTTTGTCTCATTTTATATCCCTCAAGGGTTAAAATCCTATCCTTTCACTGGAAAATTAGGGGTGAACATTGTTTACTATTTGTTGCCTTGCACAAGAAAGGCTTAGAAGCATTAAATGTCTTGTATTTGGCATCGCTGCTTTTCTTATAACCCTGCATATTCATACCAGTGTCTGAACTGATTAATCTGTTATCAAATTGGATCATTAATCCTTGCCAGAAATATCTACAGGTACTCCTCATAATCTGTACAAATGTGTGGAGGCTAAAAATTCGAGTTCACAGTCAGCAGCACATTAACTCATATGAGGAGCGGCTGGCCGAATGGTTAGAATGCTGGGCTTTCATGAAGGAGACCCGGTTTGAATTTTCGGTAAAGCTGGGGATTTATTTCTATTAGGGGCAAAATAAAATCCTCACCTGTACAGTCATGGCAACAGCACTAGCAATGCGGCCTTAAATATTCAGGTTCAAAGACCCCTCTCCACCTACACCGCAAAAGTGGTATATAAAGGCAGTAATTGGCAGTCTCGGAAGCTGAAATATTTTGGTCATATCAAGCGCCTCGACGGATTATAAAAAATAATGGCAAAAGGCATGGTACCAGGAAGGAGGGGCAGGGTCCGACCAACACGAAGATGGGTACAGGATATAAGTGACTCATT